TGGGCTCCATGCCCAGCAGTAGATGGCCAACAGAAAATGAACTCAAGGGCATCTTTGGAGGTTCTCTGTCTCATGTTGTGTCAGGCAGGGTTTTCTTTCCTTCCTTCCTCTTTTTAGGCTTATCTTATTTTATTATACATGCACATATATATATATGTACATGCATTTACATATATGTATATATATATGTATATACACACATATATTTATGTAAAATTTATATATATATATTTTACATTACTGGTCCTTCATATATATATTATGGCTTTTAGTTTAATTTTTTTGGGATTTCTGAATGTGCAAATGAGTGGGTCTCTGTGTCTATATCTATTCCTCGTGCCTTTTCTTGGGCTCTCTTCCTTCTGTTTGTTTTGTCTTATTCTGATATGTTAATTTTTATTTTATCATATTACATTTTATTTTTAGTATTATCCCTTAGAAGCCTTTGTGTGTGTGTGTTTTTTAATGAGAGCCAGAAATGGGGTGGAACGAGCTGGGAGGGGAGATGGGGAGGAAGCAGGAGGAGTAGAGGTTGGGGAAACTGTAATCAGGATGTATTATGTGAGAAAAGATATTTTCGATAAAAGGGAAAAAGTTGCCAATGCCAACAAAGAGAAATGAATGTCACATTTCTACCCACTCGTTCACATCTCAGGACTTCATCATTTCTTAAAGTATTTAATTAGCAATAATAGCTTTACTTCTATCTGAAGCACTTTTACATTTCTTGAGTAGGTGAGTCATATTCGTAGTTCAAAATAAGAAACATGAAAGTGAGAACAGCAGAATGATTTGTACTGACCTCTGACCCTAGCCAAGTTTCACTTCATATAAACTGAATTAAAAAAACAAACCGAAACAAAACCAAAATCAAATTCTTTGGATGTTCTTTCAGAAACACGTTGTACTTATTTAAGCAAAAGACATTATACATTTGGTAAGGACGTTTTTTTCAACAAAATAATAGGATAATAAAAATAAGAATGTGGGACACTTTATTACTAAGTCAATTTAGCAAAATAATAGTCACTAGTTCTCTCTTAGGAACCACGAAGAATGTCTCCTCACTCTCACCAGAGAAATATCTTTTTGTTGTGTATGGCAATCATTACCTACCATTGGTCAACACATCGAGAATAAGAGGCTGTGGAGTGCTCAGTTCTCAATGGGACATCTATATCACATTCCTTCCCTTGAAGGTTCAGGGATCATTGTGGAACTGGGGGTGAAAAGACTGTAAGGGCCAGAGGGCACACATGTCGGCAGCGGAACAGTATTTGCTTGCCACCGCAGCGCCATTGCACACAGGGACTCACGACTCACACTGACTGAGACTAAATGCAGGAGACTTGCACATGGTGAAGCTAGTGAACATCCAGAATGGATAGAGGAGGAGCTCAAGAAATCCCACTCCTATTGGAGGCTGCTTGGGGAGGGAGAGTCAGTTTTCTTCAGAAAAGTGGTCCCTGAGAGGCTACCCATGGTCCAGTACATAGTCCCGTAAGCAAGTACATACAGGCATCACTAAATAGATTGAGTTCAAAAAAAATGGCACATGAAGTTAGGAGGAAAAAGTGATGGGTGGTTATAGGGAAGTAATTTAAAGGGAGAGAAAAGGGGGTGGATTTGATGAAAACACATTATATGTGTCTATAAAATTCTCAAACAGTAATATTATTATAAAACTGGCTAATATTAAGCTAGATGAATGTGATAGGATTGAACAGTTTTTTTCCCAGAGTAGCTAAATTACCCTGATATAGTCAGCTAAAACCTATAGTTTCTCTATAGTTCTTTCATTTATCACAACAAAAAGGATGAAAACATCCATAGTATATGGCAAAAGTCACATTAAAAGGGCGACTAGCTGTTAAAACATACACAACAAATACTACCTAGAAAACAAGCAAAATTCAGGGTTATCGCCTGGATAGGGCAATTCTTAGATTTCTCATGCATGTGAAGTTGATTATGTATTACTCCCTATTCAGAACTTCAAGCACCCAAAGTAATCTTAAAAAAGAGGAACAGAGAATAGTAACTGCAGACAAAAGTTAAATTGGTGAATTATTGATTACATTTCTCTTTTACCATTGCAAATGTGGCAGAGTCCCTCTAGAGGGTTGGTTTAAAAATAGTTACTTAGTGCATGCCATCAAGGGAGTCGGTGTGAGGGACAGTACAGACCTCAAGTACGGCAGATCCAATGGCACAGGCCAGGGGGCTTCCTCCAAACGTGTTGAAGTGATGTAAGCAATTAGCCAAAGATTTAGCAATTTCTAAGGGTGGAAAACAGAAGAGGTTAGAGCCACACATTCTCACCCATTATGTCTCATCGTGACATTGGGGTCACATTCACTTCCATCTTGTAAAGGACATCCATTTATTTCCTCCTCTACTCATCTGACAGTGATGGACTGAACTGTGTCCCCTTAAAACTCTAGGTTGAAAAGATAGGACCACATATGACCACATTTGGAGGTGGAGTCTTTAAACCGGTCATTAGGATTAATTTGGATCACAAAGCTGGGGCCCAAATCCCACGGGATGATGTCTTTATAACAATGAGAGCTTCTAGAGTGCTCATCATCTCTCTTCTGTGGGTGTAGATAGGGAAGGTCATTTAGAGAAACGATGAGGAGGTGGCCATCTGCAAGGCTAGAAGAGAATCTAGGCAACTCAGCCCTGCTGCACTTTGGTCTTGACAGACTTCTCTTCCGTGGGAAGATAAATTTCTGTTGTTCCAGCCACTTGATCCATGGTGTCTTCGTTAGTCAGCCTGAGCTGACTAATATGTAGATAAGCAAGACAGCTTATTTACTTAACGAGATGACAGCACAATCTTTAATGTGTCACACAAATTAGAAAGCATCTTAAAACTTGACATTGCAGGACTTTGTATAAACTCTTCAGTCAACCAAATCTTTTATTTCTACTCTTGAGACTAAGAAGGAAGTATTGAGGAAATGATCTTATATGATGAATTCAGCAGCATAATTCTGTCAAGGGCAGTTCATTACATTTCGCTTTCTGCGATTATACATTTTTGGTTTTAAATTAATGTAATGATTATACAAAGTAATGGATTTATCCATTCTTACATTTCCATGTATAACTATGTTTCTTTTACTTTTGCTTAGTCTATGAAAACAGATACCACAAGATTTCAGTTATTTAATGGCCCAGAAATGTGCTGACTATTGGGAAGAAATATAATATATATATATATATATATATATATATATATATATATATAAATAATATTTTTTCGACAATCAATGGTTCACAAGAAACAATATCGGTCAAAGTCTCACTACAATAGAAAATCAAATTTTAACCTTTATTTCATAGAGCAGTGTCTTGACCTTCCTAATGCTGTGACCCTTTAATAGAGTTCATGTTGTGGTGACCCCCAACCATAAAATTATTTCATTGCTATTTCATAACTGTAATTTGCTACTGCTATGAAACTAATGTAAATATCTGACATGCAGGATATCTGATGTATGACCCCAAAAGGGTTGCGACCCAAAGGTTGAGAACCACTGTCATAGCATGTTCTGGATAAATGAGATTTTATTGTATTTGGCTGATAGGACAGTGACAGAGAAATCTGGACTTTGAATGGGAAGACCAAGGGACCATGGAAAGAGTCTCTTTCAAGAAAAGATTCTTTTGGAAGCTTCAGTGTTTTGTTTTGGAAGCTTCAGTGTTTTGTTTTGTAACCTGATTTCCTAACCCTCCTCAGTATGGTAGAATCCTGACTTTAACCACTGTGATGTGGAGAGAGAGAGAGGTTGTCTTCTCTCCAGCAAGGGAGAAATGGCTGGCTCTCTTCCAACTGCCCGATGGCCTGGCACCTTTCTCTTTCATTTGCTTGGGCAACGTATCATGTGGTTCCCTCCCATCACCGCCTCTAGCCTCCACACGTTGCAACCCAGGCTTTATACTATTGCCAGGGCAGGAGGCCCAGGAGCAAGCATGGACATGCTGGACACTACCTGGAGTGGTCACAACTGCAGCCATTGGGAAGCCATTTCCAATTCCTTTGGCCATGGTCACAATGTCAGGCAGTACATCGTGGGTTTGGAAGCCCCAGAAATGAGAGCCCAGCCTTCCAAATCCTGTCTGCACCTGGAAATAGATTAAAAACCATCAGAAACCTTTCAGGCTTTGTTCTGTTTCCTTCCCTTTACCTCCTTCTTGTCTCTCCTTAGCCTTTCTCTATCCTTGCAGTCTTTTTTTTAAAAATTTACATTTATTTAATTAGTGGCAGGCAGGATGCCATGACTACATGTGGATGTCTGAGGGCAACTTATTCTTGCAGTCTTATGGACAAAGCCCTCCATCCATGTCTGAGGTCGGGGGTACAAAAATCCATTTCCTAGCTTGGAAATTCTTTGGCAATATTCTTTATGTCTTTTGAATCTGTTACTTACCAAGGAGAAATAATCAGCACAGCACAGCACAGCACAGGGCTGCTTGAGAGTTATATGAATAACACATGCAAAAGGCGTCAGGATGATTAACCCTCCTTAATAAGTTTCTCCTGTGCACAAGACAACCAGAGAGAGAAAAGTGGAGAAACTGGCTGCCCTGGAGGAAGCAAGAGTAACTGTCTATCCAGAAGGGCTGGATGCTTACCCCCCAATGAGAGTCTGCTGTCTTCCCATCTTCCTGCATTATGAGGAGAACTCAGCTGAGCCCATGAGTTCAAAGTATAACTGCTTTAGTCTAGAGCCAGCCATACACTGAACGTTGACCACAGCTTTTGTTCACACTGTCCCTACTCTCAATGACTTATGTTTCAAAATCTGCCTTCACCATCCTAAATCCCAGTAGGCTCTATTCAAAGCATTCTGGGCATGTGACCACCAGAATCTCTTCAATGGATTCTTATTACCATTGCATGTATCATGAGAGCCCTGCCTGAGTTAGATTCCTAGTGTTTGTAGAAGGAAAGACATCATGACAGAAAGATGTCATGAACATCGCCAGATCAGAGCCTTTCTTGATCTCTTGTCTCTTTTCTCCTGTTTCTCTTTCCACATGCACGCTTGGCAAGGTGGGATGGACACCCAGTCTCAAATGCATCAAAGACCAAGGTTTTTTCCCCCCCAAAGCCTTCCTTCCTTCTCATTTACCCTTATTATAGGTTGCTGCAGCTAGGTTCTTGGTTATTCTTAGGTGGCAGTGACCAGTATAGGAGAGGAGCTGATTCCAAGAGTTATTCTTCAGTGACATTGACCAATACAGGAGAAGATCTGAGATGTGGGAGTCTAACTGACCTGGCCTGGAATGCCAAGTTTTCACTTCCTAGCAACAGGCCACAGGACAAGCTGATTAAGTGGCCCAAATAATCATGTAGGATTTCCGTGGAGTTTGTCTTTTGGCCTATGTTCCTTCTTGTCTCTATCTATCTTAAGCACCATAAAAATGGCACAAATGGCGAAGAAACAGATGATGGTTTGGAAAACTCACAAACCATGCACAATAAGGCATGGCCAGTCACTTGAGATGAAGAGTTTCACAGGGCAGGATGATCATTTTTACGTGCTTAAATCCTTGTGTCTCCAGGGATGGGTCATCCATGGTAGGGAGTAGGAGACCTGAGGCTGTGGAGGTAGGGGGCTGGGACAGTGTATTCTTGCCCTTTCTCTGTTATTATCCCGTTACTAGTTAACATCCCAGTCTCTCTGAAATTTGCCTCATGTTATATTCTTGAAAGTCATGAAATGGGGGCGGGGGGCGCGGTGGGAGAAAAACAAGAGAACATCATGAAACCACATCTCTTGGAAATTCTGAAGTTCTAGTTTTCTTTGAATCCGGCCTACCTTCCTTCTAATTAGTGTGATTGTAAAAGCTTTGCTCTGTGCGGATTCCAAGGCCAACGTTTATCCTCTTTCCTGAGACAGCTAATTTCAAGCTGATTGAATGTGATTTCCTTTTTTTTTTTTTTCCTGTTAATAACCAGTTACCTCCGTTTCAATGGGACCTTGATGAGTCCACTAGTACAAGAAGGGAGGGGGAACAGAGCAGGAAGACCTTGCTGAAGCTGCTACTGTACAGCGCTGGCATTGGTTCACTCTGAGCCTGACAGGGACCTGACCACACAAGTGGTGCTGACAATTGCAAGATTTCTGTCAAGGGGGCAGCCCAGCACGAACTGTGAGGAAATTTTAGCCGAGGAAAACAATCGGTAAAGGCAAGTGAGACCTGTACACATTGGAGACACACAGGCTTCCCATGTGTCCTTGGTGGGTCAAGCCACCTGTTTGTGCAATCATGCTGGGCTCCAGCAGTGAAGTGGGAGGACTTCTGTGGCCTGGGTGCCATCCTCTGGTCTTAAGAAAAAAATCTCTAGAGCTATTCTAAGCAGATAAAATGCTGCCTTATCTGATATACTGCAATCCAAGGTATAATTCTAAGTATATGAACTGGAGCCTATAATGCTGGTGAGTATTAGTTCCTTCAAAATATCTCCCCCGGGGCTACCATGTACTTATTTCAGCTGGGCTGCCTCCACTCTGATACTTTACAAGTTGTGCGATCTAAGTCTGAATGTCTGAAGTGGTAGCAACCTTCTAATTTAGAGGCTGAATTATCACTTATTCTTTAAAAATAATCTAGCTGATACCACCTTGGCATAAATTAAGATGAGCACTAGACTACGAGATTAAATGTCTTTTACAGACATTTGTCATAGGTCTGGCAACAGTTCTTAGAGCAAGGAATAATAATAACGGCAGGAATAAAAGCACATCGTGTAACGGTAGCATCACCCGTGCCCACAGGCAACTTTTAAAATAGAAACCAGTTCGGATGCTTAAGTTCTGTTATATTTGTTACTCTAATTAACTTTCTAAGAAACCAGCAGAGGCTTCTTTAGTTTATGGCCACACTTCAGAGTTCATGCACTTGCTTTCTGCCTGAGATGTCAAAGAGGTTTTGAAGAGGTCTCTTTCTACATCTGGCTTGTTCCTACAGCACCAAGTCATTCCCTGGCGTGGCTACTCACTTCATCCGCAATGCACACACCTCCCCTCTCTCGAACCAGTGCAAAGGCTTCCTTCAGAAACTCCTTCGGGTACTGGACAATACCATTCACACCCTGCAAAAGATTAAATCAGGAAGACTTGAGTGTCAGCAGGGGCCCTCACTCAGCACCAAGGATGAAGATAGATCATTATCCTCATCACCATGACATAATGCCATCAGCTGAATGAGCAGCGTGTAGGACTGTTCCAAGTGGAACTTTCATACCGTGACTTCAGGAGAAATGATGTGACTCTATTCTTTCCTGAGGTTAGAAACAAGGAGGCTGGATGAGTTAAAGATAGGTGAACAGTGTGTGTTACATAGTTAAAGATAGGTTCCCCTAGAACAGTGTGTGTTACACAGTTAAAGATAGGTTCCTGAACAGTGTGTGTTAAATAGTTAAACATCAAAGGGGGTTTCTTTTCCTGAGGACTTTAGGGATTCAATGGCTTCAACTATTTATCTGTCCGTCTGTTCTGTGTGGGAATGATGATGTTGTATTCTTTTGGAGGTCTACTGAAAACTAGTTTGTTTGTTTGTTTGTTTTGCTTAAAAGGGGACCAAAAGAATGAATTGCACTTGGGGAAGAACACAGAAACAGGTACTTAGTTATCTGGAGTCAAAACTGTGATAATGGAAAATTCAGAGAGAGACTAGGTTTGTATACCCACTTGAATTGGCTCTGCAAAAAATCCAGCGATTGACTTGGCCACAGAAGTGTTCAGGGTTTCTTTGAATTGTTCGATGTACTGTTCTTTAGCTTGGCAGCAGTCTGCAGCAATCCAGAAATGGCATCCAGAAAACACAAAGAAGCATAAACAGTCAACTAACTGGAGGTCCCTAGACTGTGGTGAGCTGGGGTCCACAGGTATTTATCTCTCAAAGGGAGGGGGCATTCTGCAGGAATGACTTTATGAAGACAATCATAAAGGCATGAACAGATCACTTCAATAATTTTAGTTGTGGAAGGAATACACCAAAGTATCAAGTCTAGTATGGACAGCCATTTCATATAATGAACATCCTTTTAAATGGGTAGATCTGACTCAAGTGTTATTGGGGTGACTTAATTTGTTTAAATGCAACTCTACTGTTGAATGTCACTTATTCTGATCCACGCTTTTGAACTGCAAAGTGCTTTTGCATTCAGTCAGTAAATATGCTTATATAACCATCAGAATTCAGTTTAAAGAAGGGTGTATTAGAGCCCTAGAAGTTTTCTCCATGGTAGCTCCTGACTCTAGGTTCTGTGTTTCTTATTTATAGGTCTTTCTTCGTCAACGGAGGGCACATTCATTTTTGTAATCTGTAAATATGTCAAGTGTCTGATATACCATAGATGCTCATCAAGTTTCTAAAGAATCAGAGGGAAATAAATAGTGGAAATTGTGATAGGTTTGTGATATAGTGAGCAATTTTACTTGAAATTCTTCTCTGGATAGGTCAACTGTTGTCTAGGGAATGCCTTTAGTATGTTAACCCCTCGTTGTCCAGGTTGAACTGATAATAAACCCACTCCCTCAGTTTTAAATGTCAATGACTATTTATTAATAGAAGACATACTTGTTTCTAAAAACTCCTTTGTTGTTTTGTAGAGTTTTTTTTTTTTTTTGGTTTTTTTGAGACAGGGTTTCTCTGTGTAGCTTTGCGCCTTTCCTGGAGCTCACTTGGTAGCCCAGGCTGGCCTCGAACTCACAGAGATCCGCCTGGCTCTGCCTCCCGAGTGCTGGGATTAAAGGCGTGCGCCACCACCGCCCGGCATTTGTAGAGTTTCTTAAGTACTAGACATATTTTCAAATTTGTACTCACCTTTTAATTTTCTTTAAATTTAATGAACATGTACATTCCATTGTCTGATAATTCCATTACCTGGAGTTTTGTGGTCTTTTTCTAGAATGTGGACTTTTGTTTCCTTGTGTATTAGTTTTGGCCATGGATGGCTTATTTTCCTTAGTATTTGTGAATGTTCTTTGAAGCCTAGAATGAGGTAGGCTCATCAGAGTACCTCTCCATTTGCAGCTTCCAGGAGCACAGGGCATTCCTGCCTCCAAATCAGCCAGGGGTAGTAGAATTCAGAATTCAAAGCCTCGGGGTGGGTAGCCTGTAGTTGAGATTTTTCAGTTATGATTCCTACTGAGTCTCCTCTACTTCCATTCAGTGGAAGAATCCTTGCAGAGCTTGGCGCCTTGATACACTGCTGGTACCTTGATTTCCAGTAGACCCTTGGATGTTGTGTGTCCTCTTACCAGCTCTGTGACTGGGGAGGCTTTCATGTTGTGTCTCCTCTTATGGATATGCCCTATCTTGTAATTTCTCCCCTGCCCTCTGTGGAACCTTAACACTGAAGCTCAAGCTGCCCCTGTTTTCCAAGAACCCTCAGGACAAAGCTTACTATTTTTATTTCTAAGAAAGCCCGCCCTATTTTTCATTTTTAAGGAAGCCATAATTTAAACATTTAAAACATCTGTAAAGTTTTTAGAAGTTGTGGTATTGGTAAGAAAAACTGAAATCTGTCATTTCAGTTTAGTAGTTCAATGTGTACAGGAGAAGCAGATTAGGATTTTGTACACCCCCTATCTATCTCTCTATCTCTATCTGTCTGTCTATCTATCTATCTATCTATCTATCTATCTATCTATCTATCTATCTATCTATCTATCTATCTATCTATCTATCTATCCATTGGTTTTTTGAGACAAGATTTCTCTATATAATAGCCCTGGCTGTTCTGAAACTTGCTTTATAGATCATGCTGGCCTCGAACTCATAGAGAATCACCTGCCTCTGCTTCCCAAGTGCTAGGATTAAAGGCGTGTAACACCATGTCCAACTAGAAGTAATTTTTACTATTTTTAAAAAGTTTATTATTTATACAAGTGTTTTGCCTGCATGTATGTGCACCACATTGGTAACTGGTAACCACAGAGGTCAGACAATGGCATCAGATGGAAATTACAGATAGTTGTAAGCCACCATGTGGGAGCTGGAAGTTGAACCCAAGTCCTCTGGAAGAGCAGCTCTTAACCACTGAGCAATCTTCCCATCCCCTAAAATCCCCTTTTAAAAAATGTATCTTAGAGCAAATTGTGACTTGTAGGATACTTTTGCCTAATAGTATGTATGGAAAGTGTTATTCAAGTGGCAACATTTATTCTTTATGATTTATGTTTCACTAATTTTCTTGGTTAAAAATTTTCATAGAGAAGATAAACAAGGTCTCTGAACATAGGGTTTTCCTTTCTGCACATAGAATTTGAACCTGGTGTCTATGTGTTCTGGGTTTCTTTCTTTGCCAAAAATGTAGGAAGGAATAATTTGAGTTTCCTATGTTTCTTAGTCACACTTTCTATTAGTTTAATTCTAGGTGTACCTTGGTTAGTAGAACATTCTTTCTGGGTTCATGTTTAGAAACATTTAAAAGTGACATTCTTGAGTTTAATAGTATGACATTTAATTTTTCTACAAACACAAACTTTGACTATTGTAGTTAAGTTTGGAAAAGTATTTGAAAACTTTTACCAATGTTAATCAACTATTATAAGACTTACAGGGTTTCTTATTCTCTTGTATTGCTATTTGTTTCAATAAGGGTGTGTTTCACATTTTATGCATGAGTTTTAGTTATTTTCAGATGGAAGTAACCTGGTCTATCTGTCTTGTTAAGCCTGGCAGCAGTTGTCCATCCATTCCAGATGTCTCAGAAGTTACAGATTTGTATTCTCATCCTGCTTCAAGATGTTGAAAATATCCCTGGTGGTGGTTTTAGATGCATCCCTAGATGTAAGCCTTAATACACAGAGAAGCAAGCATAAAGTCCTATGAGTGGGAGAGAACACAAAGAGACAGAACATCGCTCAGCAGGTTTACTGAAGCTCCAGGAGCCACCATCTATGTGTCCCACCTTTGGATATGGAAAATGCTCCAGGAGGAAGGTCAGCAAGATGAGCAGTATCTACACGTGACTGAACTTTAAGAATGTTTATCTACGTTCATGCTTTAGTTCTCAACAGTACCATAGCATCTCTGAACGTAACCCCAAATCTATGCCCACAGAAGGGACTGAGGGGAAGATGTGGATGGGGTGGGAGGCCTCAGCACTTCTCATTATAAAAGAAAACTAAACCCAAATGCATTTATATTCCAGCTCCACTAAAGAGTAAAAAAAAAAAATCATGTTCCAAGAATGCATATGACATTTAGGAAAGCTTTATTGACAAAGCTTTACTGATACCTTTGTAGTCAAATTGTCTATTTTTATTAGGAAAAGAAGAGACAAGAAACTTAGATGACTCTAGCAGATATATCAAACACACACACACACACAAAAGACCTGGCTTCTGGGTTTAGCAGGCTCTTTTATAACTAAGAAAATCAGAACAGAGTAAATCAGCCTTAATGCTTAAGTCAGGGTAAAATCATATCAAAAATATTTTGCTTGAGTTTATCCTACACATTTCATATTTTACCAGCACCTATCAATGTGTTTGGTGAGAAGTAAGACCATCTATTGTGTTTTCTCCATTTAGGGTGTGTTGCATTGGCCCATTCCTGTAACTTCAGGTCAGGCTTCCTATGGAGAGAGATAGGGTGCATTGATGTCTCCATGGCAACACCAGGAGACTGTGGATGCTCTGTTGGATATCATAACAGAGCTATTACTTTAGAGTCTGTTTCAGTTGGCATTACAGAAAGAGGTAAGCAGAGTGAGACACCAAGGGAGAACAATATTGTTAAGGAAAAGGAAGAGTTCCTTTCAAAAAGGAAAGAATGGCACAATCAGTGCCAGTTTTGGGACACTGTAAGGGCAGTGGTTAACAAGAGTTAAATTCCATCATGGGGTATGCCTGGAAATCTGGGCTTAGATTTGAATGAATCTCTGGAGAATAAACAATCCAGGAGGTAGATAGATGATTATGACATCTACCATATAAAAATAACAAACTGGCCTCTATTTAAGATGGGATCTGATGATATAATTATGAAATGAAAATATCCATACTATGGTTGTATGCATCCAGTGAGAAAACTCTAGAAGCACCCGAAAACTTGAACCATCTACATTAAAATTACTTGACATGGTGACTGAGTACAACAATGGAACAGAAAGACACCACTGGAGTCCACAGTCCGCAGTCCACTTTTGTGTCTTATTTAAAAATGTGGTGTCCCAGCTCTCAGTGGGTGGTCTCCATCAAATCCCTCCCTTCAGAGTTCAGGGAACCCCTCAGAAGAGGAGGCACAAAGAGTGTAAGAGCCAAAAGGGATGGAGGCCACCAGGAGAACAAGGCCCCCTAAATCAACTGACCTAACCTCGTATGAATTCACCGAGACTGAAGCAGGAAGCACAGGGCCTGCATGAGTCTGCACCCGATCCTCTGCGCGCGCACACACACACACACACACACACACACACACACACACACACACACACACACACTAGCTTTCAGTTCAGTATTTTTACAGGGCTCTTGAGTGTGTGAACGAGTGGGTCTCTGAATCATGTGCCCTCTCTTGGGCTCGTTTCCTTGTGTTGGTGTGCCCTGTCCAACTTCGATGTGATGGTTTTTGTTTTACCTTATATTTTATTTTGCCATGTTTTGTTGCCATCTCTCAGAAACCTGCTCTTTTCTAATGAGAGACAGAGGAGGGTGGATCTGGATGGGAGGGGAGGTGTGGAGGATCTGGGAAGAGTAGAGGGAGGGGAAACTGTAACCAGGATATGTTATATGAGAAAAGAATCTATTTTTCAATAAAAGGGGAAAATAAAAATGTGGTATCATCTTGTATCTATAAGATAACAGTCAAGAAAACAGGAGCTTAGATACACAAAGGGCAGCGTATATCTTCCACAACCATGTATCCTCTAGATGACACTTAAGAGAGATGATCATGCTATTCTTATGTTTTTGAGATGGTCTAGGGCAGTGGTTCTCAGCCTTCCTCATGCTGCGACCCTATAGTACAGTTCCTCATGTTGAAGTGACTCCTAACCATAAACTTACTTTGTTGCTACTTTATAACTGTAATTTTGCTACTGTTATGAATTGCAATATAAATAAATGATATGCAGGATATCTAATACGTAACCCCCAAAGGGGTTGCGACCCACAGGTTGAGAACCACTGGTCTAGAGGAAGGCCTCTAAGAGAAAGAATACAGAAAAGATGGACAGAGGGAAGGATTCAGAAGAAGGAGGGAAGGAAGTGAGCAGCATTGAAGTGCTCCAATCTTCTGGACTTTGCTGGTGGCTCTGCGGAGGGCCTGAGAACTCTGAGATGTACCTGGCTGACTTCAGTTCTTGATGTCATACATATGTGATATACATATATATTCCCAAGGAAATGGAAACTATTATTAAATGCTTTCCTCTAAAAAGGTTTGTGTGTTCCTGATCTCATGACATGACGTGATGGGAACGAGGCACAGTCTTTGCTACCCCTAGGTATTTATTATTATTATTATTATTATTATTAATTTTTATAAATGAGAAAACTGAAGCCCAAGATGGAGTAGAGTCTAGATCTCCTGACTCCACACATGTCCTCAATCATGGAAAAGAAGAAGGAAAGGAATTATTTTTCAGCTTGGGTTCACCTTGCTGGCATACATGTCTGAATGAGAACGGTCACAGGGATTGAGAACTCTAGATTTCTGAAGCCAGGGTCTGAAGACATGAGGTCAATCCTAGTTTTCCTACTTCCTGAATGTGAACTTCAGCTTCTCTTCCTTAAAACTGAGTTTGAATTGTAGCCAGACCCTTCAGTGTGTTTTTAGACTCTGTGACCATGACATTTGTCTGGTTCCAATGCTCAGCCTTTCATTCTCCATTTTGTTATTATCTTGTATGAATTTTAAGGTGACTGATTTATTTTCTATTAAAAGCTGAGTTTTTGAGGTTTCCGTCTTTCATTCTTCCTCTCAACCTAGTGACTCATCCTACTCCATTAAACATCTTTTGGCTGGGGCACTTGTTCCTTCCTCTAGAACTGGCGAGGAGCAGCTGTTCAAATAGTTCTGTACTATGATGACAGATCTGACTAGAAAAGAGCCGGCAGTGTTTCCATTCCCCTTCTCTTTCATGTCATGAATTCAAATAAAAAAAAATGTGATTGATAAATAGAACTTCTCCTGGCAAGGACCAACTCTTGTGCAAGAGACATCAGTGTCAATGGCATCCACACACAGCCCCGTGGCCGACAGATGTTGTTTGGATGGCATTAAGGGTCCCTGGGGGGAATTTCTTGACTGGTGTTTTGAGATTTGTAGATGTATCCTTTTCCCTCGTCTCCTCTCCCATTGGGAATTGATGAATGATCGCACTCATTTCATAGACCCACTTAATCGTCAGCTGACATGCTGCTTATAGGCTTAGGTCCGAGAGCATGGGAAGCTTTCCCCACATGGCCAGATGGCAGCTGAGACAGTTAAACAAAGAGTGGGTATGTGAAGCATTGAGTCCATGAGGGCTCACTTAGCATTTTCTCATTATTTTGGGGGGAGGGCTTTTCCCTTCCTCAATTTCCCAAATTTGATTGTTTTACCCTTCTCCAAATTCATCACCCCACCCAATCTTCCCCTCTACCCTTCTTCCCTGCCCATTTGGACCTGGAGCACAGCTGCATTTCCTAACTGTTTGCACTGGAGAATCTCGACAGTAGCTTCCTCCCCAGGGGCCACGGAAAACATCTGGGCACATTGTCTGCAAATGAAAAAAGAATTTTGGCAGAACACTGATACAAAATAGCAAAATTGGGGATGCATGTGGTGACAACTGAGGGAAGTGGGCTTCTCAATTTGATACTGAGACTCCTTCATTCCCTTTTCATTAATGGTAAAAATGTAGTCTTTTTTGAAGAGATATTTTTTTTCTTAGAAATTACTTATGTGACCACTCTTCAAAGAAAATTAATTTTGATGTTAGCCCAGAAGCAACTTTCTCAAAGATTTATCAGATGAGGGCATCATAAAGAATAAGGATAATTAGATATCTGGTTCTGATGCTGAAAAAGATGAGCACAGCCTGTGAGAACAGAAAGTGAGGACAGGGATGACTTGATAGAAACTTTGTGTATTCAAGTTTCTAAGATCCTTGAGTCTCTTAGATTGTATGTATGAGCAAAATAAAATTTAGAACTCTATCATTAACTATATTAACTCAGACTCTTTGGGCATTTCTAAGAAACATTTTCTTCAACTGGCCTTCAGTTTTTTAAGTCAAATTGAGGCCTTGGCTAATGGCATACTTTATATTAATTTCCAATTCCAATATCAGGAAAATCTGATTAATTATCCTGTAATTCCAGCAGACTGTATTGAAACAAGATGAAAGTCTCAGAACTTACTGATCGGCAGCCCATCCCGCTGGGGAGTTTCACCTTGAAGGTCCCTACATTTGTCAAACCAAGTGTATAAGGACTGCATCCATGATAGGCTCCTCTATGGGGAAAAAACATGGGAGGATGAGGTCAAGTTTATTTTTCTTTGATAGTTCACTTGCTTCAGTAAAAAAAAAAAAGATACAGGATGGATAGAACAACATAAACATTCAAATCTGACATCTTTTAAGAATCCATCTAAACTTATGTTATGTGAATGTATTCACTGATATTTTCCACTGGTCTTATAAATCTGAAACTGTGAAAATAATTTTGAAGACTGGTTGACCAAGGACTCTTAATTTTGAACCTGTCACTCTAAAATTATGAGACTGATTTTTTTTTTTTTAGCAGCATTCCAGAGATCACATGGTCAACCCATGCTAATCTTCAAAGCAGTCATCTTAGGAAGACAAATATTTGTTCCTGTGATGAAACTGTTGCTCAATGTCACTGGAGAGTACTGTTCTCTTCTTGTGACTGATGTGACTTTATTTAGCATATTAGAAACAGTTTTGATTTCCTTTGAACCTGAAACAGTCATTCTTAGTATAAATCATCCTAATCAATTCAGAAAATTTCTAAATCAAAATCATCCTTCAATGAGCTCCAAATTTTATTTTCAAGAATGATTATGAAAAAAGGAGGCAGAGTATACACATCAAATTCTGCTTCAAACAGATCAATATTTGTCTTGGAATGTGTGTTCTAAAAGATTATTTTGGTAAAACACAATCACAATGTGTTATTGCCATATTTATTTGTTAGCAAATAATTTTTAGGCTTATAAAAATACATGTGTGCTTCATATGGAATCTGTAGTGTTGTGCTATGACACAAATCTTTGAATTTAGACAGAAATTATCCTGAGATGGATTTAACACAGGACTAACTTGATTCCATCATTTTTTTTAAACTTTGTTACTCGTGTCTTTTATATAAATCTTATAAGACTATGTAAATGTGCTAAGGCTGCAAACCAAAACATACTTTTCTGTTATTTTAAATGCTAATGTATTCATCTAGAATTTATAAGGCCAATTTAGATGGAGTTATCTAGTCATCAGATTCACTGGCTTGATCCTGCCCTCAAGCTGGACTTTGGAAAAATACTGAGAAAACACTCTTTTTCTGTGCTATTATTTAAAGATGCATATTTAGTGTTGAGATAAGTCAATGTTGCTAAGCTGAATGTTATAAAATGTGGTTACCTGAAAGAAATGATGTCTGTGTGATTTGAGTATGCTCTGGCCATCATCATGGCCAGGTCATTGGCTTCTGATCCACTGTTCACCAAGAAAATGACCTGATGGGGCAAGAAAGACACATGACTTAGTACTTTTAGATCCCTATTCTCAGTTCATGAAATATTGCTAAATGCTATGTATTCCAGCTTCTACTAAAGAGAATTCCCTTCAGGTCAGCTTCTGCTTCTGATCACTTCTCCCTTTTAACTACTAAATAAATTCTGTATCCCTCCCTTGAACAGCTGTTGAGTGCTAACAAAACTGACTAAGAGGTTGACTCATTTGCAAAAATCTGAGCTTTTATTAGACTTAATTGATGAGCTACAAAATGTGAAGACAGGAAGACTTTTTGAGAGGTTCACAGTGGTCAGTAGCAGAGAATATCATGAATGAGGTCTTTTGGTTCCCACACCTAATCCATTCCACTTAATTCTGAAGGCATGGAATGAGGCAGGGCCCCAACCTAGCAACCTCAAGAGGTTATCCCGGTTGGATGTTGCTGTACAACTGTGGAAACAAAATGCATCTCAGTCTGAACAAAACAAAGAGAAGAACTGAAGAGGTCCAGCTCCTCCAGGCAGGAACAAGGAGGCATGCATTAATGGTTTAGTCCAATTACTCCATTTCTACTCTGCCATGAGATCTGGATCTGAACACAGAGATGGCCATTCCAAATTTCTTTTTTTTTTAAATTCTGTATAACATTGTAAATGGAATATTGAGATGATAGAGTAAAATAATAACTAAAACCACATATTGAGCACTAATCTGGGACACACACACACACACACACACACACACACACACACACACACACTCATTTAATGCCTGCATCTAAATCTTGGCAAACATCTTTAGATGTCGGCTCAGTGGATGTCAGTTCAGTGTTAACTTTAATTCATTTCAGATGCAGAAAATATCTCAGTCAGTTAAAACATCTAAGCGCATTTTAGACAAATGTTATTTATAAGGAAAGGCCTCACTCTTTACAAGAGAAGAAATGAAAATAACTTTTCAGAAACAATGTTGAACAAAGAGAAGGAAATTTCTTGAAAATGCCAAGGAGCATCTGTAGGACTGGGATTCCTAAGAGAGATTTCTGTAAAGATATAAAGAGGTGACCAAGGAGAGGGGACTCAGCGGGGACACTTGTGAACATTGGATTGTTTAACCAGCAGCTTAGAGATTCTTTTCTTCAGCTTGAGCACTTTTAGGTATGGCTATCTGCTCATCACGGCAGACTACCAATGCCCAGACCAAATCCCTTGGGCCCACAGGTCACTGTCCTTGTGAGCTGGGAGCACTGAGCACTCTACCTTAAGAGGCTCAGGAAGAAGAGCTGAAAGTTTCTCTGCGTATTCGTGCATTTGAGGGTGGAAGAAGACAGAGCTTGTATGCCACAGGCGGTCCATCTGTGTTTGTGCCACAGCAGTTACCTTCCTGGAGAAACACAAAATCAGTCAAGTGCACACCACCAGCAGGTATGTTCTCTCCCCTGGGTCACTGAAACTGGACCTTTGTCTACTTCTTCAACAGTGTCAGGAGGCAGATTTCATATGTGGACTCCACTACTCTCATTGGAGCAGTGATCAGTGGTGATGAGTATTTTGTAACACTGAAGTGTCATTCTTTAAGAATCAGTTTAACCTTTCAGATCAGAAGGCCCATAATGAAGGCAGGTAGCAACTAAAGGCAATTAAACATGTGGGGCCCAAATAGGAAGGTCTTGAGAAGATGGAGAAAGGTGATTGAACTTGATCTATAAATGGCAGCAGTGCCTTAGGTTTGATTCACACCAATTCTGCTTGCTATTAATATCAAATACATCTAAAAATTAGTTCAATGGTTGAATAATTTTGAAATCTATCAGGCTAAACAAATTTCTCTATGTGGGATTTGCTAGTGCCTTTGCTTGGCATACTGCTGCTCTCTAAGAAGGCGGGAGGAGCGGTTCATAGTGTGTCATATTCTTATCTTTTCCTGGAACTTTTTCCATGGAACAACTCCCGTGGTTATCACTTCCACAAAGCTTACTTAAGAAAATTGTAAAATGTCATTGACTTTTTGAAGAGACAAGATCCTTGACAGCATTGCTGACAGAAGTAAATCTAAGAGCCACATGACATGTAGAATGGAGGGGACATGGATTACTGGTAATGTGGTGGCCAGCTAGGTGGGCAAGGTTGTCTTCCTCTGGAGAGCAGAAGAGCTCTGAAAACACTTGTGTAAATGAGAATTGTGGGAAGAGGACGAGGGAGTTTTGGTGGAGGCCTTAGATCTATGGCATCAGGTTGGCTGGAGGAAATGAAAAGGAGGAAAACTCAAAGACAACTTTGACTTTCTTGCCTTGAATGCTGGGCAAATTTCCAGGAGTAACCGAGGGACAGTCAGGTTTCCAGCAGATGGATCACATGTGTTTGTTTCTTGAATAAGTGACTATGTGAATAAAATAGTCAGTTTTGTGGAGAAGATGGATTTAGTCTTAGAATATGTTGGGATGGGAGATATCCTGCATGGTATTGAGGAATGTGGGACATCATGATGCCCTCCCTGAGTATATGCAACTTAGTATTGTGTCTTGGTGAGGGGCCAAGGCTCAAGATACTACATTGGATAAAGCTGTTGAAAATGTAACTAAATAAACAGGGCAGGAGGGTGGCAGCAAAGGAATGTGGTGCAATGGTGAGAGGAAAAAATCAGAAAGAAGAAGAAGAGAGAAGAGATGAAGATAGAACCAGAATCCTCAGAGTCGGGGTCATTAGATGCTGTACAAAGGTCAAGAGAGTGAGTGAGAACTGTCTACTGCTAGGAACATAGTCAGTGCCTGGAGGATTCTGCTCATGATGCTTTCTGCTGTCATGAACATTTGTACTTTACTTTAAAGGGCTTCTGAAATTTAGCTTGGATAATCACTGGGACTTGCACCTCCCAAAAACAGAAGGGGAAAGAATAGGAAGTAGAAAAGGAGAAGGCTGAGTGTGGGGGCCCGAGTCATATCTCTTCTCCTGTTAGCAGGTGCAGGAGAGTTCTCTTGGCCCTTGCTTTGAAAGGAAGGCCTCAGACCATTCAAATTATTTTGTCTATGCTGCTTTCCACACTATTCTATATATGTACATATAATTGTATGTTTATATAATTATATATGCATATATAAACATTAAGTTCATCCCCAAATTCTTTTTTTAAAATTTTTTATTTAAAATTTATTGTAATGGGGTCCATCACCAAATTCTTAAGGGCCAGAGTGAACAGACCATCGACAGTTCAGGAAGCACTACAAAAGAGGAGGCAGCAGGCAGGGGGATCGGGATCTGTCCTTGGTGCATGGGCAGGCTTCTGGGAATCCGGTGCCTGTGGGGTGACACCTTTCACAGCCTTGGTGCAGTGGGAAGGGGCTTGGACCTGCCTAGGCTCAGTGTGCCGGGCTCTGCTGACTCGCCATGGGAGACCTCGATTTGGGGGATGTGGAGTGGCTTGGTAAAGAGGGCTGGGGGGTAGGAAAAGGGAGGAGGGAGGGGGGCCTGTGGATAGCATGAGGAGTGAGTAGAAAATTTCTTAATAAAGAAAAAAAAGAGGAGGCAGAAAGATAGTAAGAGTCAGAAATCCAGAAGTCAGCTGTGAAACAGCCTATCCTAGAAATGGCTGCAAAATCACGGGCAGAACAATGGCAACATCACTGACCTCGTTAATGTGGATGGGGGGAATTTCCCTGGGTCCCACCCCTAGAAAAACGACTACAGGCAGCCAGGGAGCTGCTAGGAGAAGGAGAATTAGCCTCTCCCAGGGATGAGCCCCCTTACTGGTTGCCCAATGCTGAGTGATCAGCTCTGAAACTGTATACACATAAACAACACAATGAAATAAGCAGGTTGTGTTCATAAACATGTGTGCACACCCATTTCTACCTAACAAATATAATAATAATAAAAAAGAGGCTATCAACTTGAGGGTGGGCAGAGTGTGGGAAAGGTCTGAAGAGAGGGTGGTTGGGAGGGGTTGGGGTGGAAAGGGAGGGGAAAGTGATGCAGTCCTCTTTCAGTTAAGAACACTTGAAAAAGCATCATAACTATTAATAAAATAGCATATTATATAATAAAAGTTAAAAAAAAAACTGGAATGGCCACATAGAAACCCAGAGGGTTAGGGAGGAATGTGCTGAAAGCGTGTATGTGTGGGAGAGCTGGTCAAGGCTTTAGACAGTCATTTTTAACTAGGGTTGCATCTCTCTGTTGCAATTGCATTCCTCATCCACCTCTCAGAGTCTGCAAACATGATCCATCATGGATTTAGCAGTTACTTCTCAAGGTTCATACTTCATGCCCTGCACCTCTCTCCGTGTTTGCCTGACAGCGTCTGCCGCCCGTTCCTTTCCTCAGTGTGTGGATCACTGTCTTTGCAAAGTTTTCTCCATCACAAAACACACAGAGAGACACTGAATCACGTGGTGCCTGCCATGCTGTTTGTGCGCAAGAGGAATGATCAAAGCTCCCATTAGCAAGGAAAAAAGTACAGAATCAAGTTTTTTTTCCCCCTTACAGAGGAAAGCACGTAGGTCCATGTCAGCACAGACTGTAGCATACATAATTTAAAGTCAGAATATATAAATCAAGGATTCTAAGTGACACGAATAATCATTTTCCTTGTTCTTCTGGAGTGCAACCCCCACCCCCCACTTCCTCCCCGTGGATTTTAAGGTTACTCACGGGTGGCAGTGACCAACACTAACAGTTACAATCCCAGAGAAGAAGTCCAGGTATCTGTTTCCCTCTGAGTCAAAGAGCCACTCCATGTGTCCCTGATGGAGCAGCAAAGGCTTCTGGAAATACGCTGTTTCCACAGGAGAAAGGTGCTTCTTATGAATCTCCAGGGCACGGCTGTAGGGAAGGGACTACAGGTAGACAGATTAAAATTTGCTTTCTTATTCCTGGTCCTACAGGATGAAGAGCAGACCAGTATACCAGGGCTTCACCCCTTAGGGGCCCAAACACATGACTGACTGCTGGGCAGGTTTACAAATAGGCACATTACCCAATGTGTTCTGAAAAATTGAAGTCCTTTCTGTTTAGCAGGTAACATTTCTTATTATGTTCTATTTTACTTATGATTTTTTCCCTAGCATGTCCTTGAAGAAAGGAGTTGGAATTCCCATATCTCCATGGAGAAAACTTAGAAATAAGTGGTTAAATTAATGCCATTTTTGCCCCTATAGGTTTATGAAAATAAAAAAAACCCCAAACCTAAATAAATGGCTGGCCGTGGCGGTACACACTTCTAATTCTAGCACTTGGGGCCAGAGGCAGGTGGGTCTCTGTGAGTTCCAGGACAGCCAGGGCTACATAGAGAGACCCTGCCTCAAATAAAAACAAAATAAACAAAAAACAAAATCAATGAAGTGAGTATGATGTTGGCCATTGAATTCAGGGCTTTGTGCATGCTAGGCCAGGACTTGACCACTGAGCTTCAGACCAAAGTTTTCTTTCTCTCTCTGAATATATTTCTGTGTGTGTGTGTGTGTGTGTGTGTGTGTGTGTGTGTGTGTGTCCAGATGCACAGGCATGTGCAGTGTGTGCACAGGTTGTGTATGTGTGTGGAGGCCAATGGTCAATGTTGAGTATCTTCTTCAATTGTTCTTCACCTTCATTTCTGGAGACAGGACCTCCCACGGAACCTGGATCTCACTGATTCTGCTAGGAGGGCTAGCTGGCAGGCCCTAGCAGTCCCCGGTCTCTGTTTTCCCAGTGCCACTGGGATTACAAACATCTGCTGCCATGCCCATAATTTTATGTGGTGGCTGGGGATCTGAATTCAGGTCCTATACTTCCTAGTCAAAACTTTATTCACTGAGCTGAATAACCTACCATGGTTTAGATAATAAAACTGCTCCCAGCATCTTCAAGTTTTTTCCCATTGCTGTAATAAAAAAAATGACAAACGTGTCATAAAACTGGGCATGAGGAGTTCACAGCTTTAATCCTAGCACTTAGAAGGCAGAGATAGGAAGATCTCTGTGAGTCTAAGTTCAGCCTGGTCCACAAAGGGAGTTCCAGGATAGCCAGGACTACATAGAGAGACAGTATCTCAAAAACCAAAACCCAGAAAAACAAAAACAAAAGAGCACAAACAAAAGCAACCTAAAGAGAGTTTCTTCTGGGTCACAGTTCAGGTTCAGTCTGTCATGCTGGAAAGCTGTAGTGGTAGAAAATTGACAGAGCTGGTCACGTGGTACCGCAACCATGAAACAGAACGAGTGCGTGTGCTCAGTCAGCTTTCCACTCTTTATTCAGTCCAGTACCCCAAGCTCAGGGAATGTTCCCACTCACAATTAAGATGGGAATTTTTCCACAACAGTTAACAGTATCAAGATAATTCCCCATGGGCATGCAAGAGGGGTGTTTTGCATGTGATTTTAGATTCTACCAAGGTGACAATATTAACCATCATACCTATGTCTTCCTTTTGTAGAGAGCTCCTGATTATTGACTTTAATATATGGGTCCAACAAATATGATATAGAGCAAAAGGATTGTTGTGTGTGTGAGGGGGGGGGAGGAAAGGAGACATAAAGAGGAGAAATCATTATTAATCTAACAACAGGAAAGTAACTATGCTTTTTGATGGGGAGAACTAAGGAAGATAATGTGATGCTTTGATATTTATAAATTAAGATAACAACATTTTAAAAAAGAAAATAAGTGATTTCATACTCTTGATCTGAGTGACCTGAGTGTATCCCTGCCATGAGTGTGTGTGTGTGTGTGTGTGTGTGTGTGTGTGTGTGTGTGTGTGTGATCTTGTAGTAGTCCTTTCTTGTGCTTCCTGTCTCTCAGTCTCCCATATGCTTAACAGTTCATATGTAGCTAGTAAATAGTGTAAGAAGGCTTTAGATATCCCCTAACACTTAAAGAATAGGATATCTAGGACAAAAGTGTTGACTTACAAAGCAGGGTGATTTGTGGGTCCTTTTAGGGGAACAACTTTGGAAGTCTTGAGGTCTCCCAAGGGAGACCTTTTTTCTTTTCTGAAAGCCTGAGTCTTACCTGGTATCTCTCAGGTGAGAAGTCACATGATGGCATGCTGGGCTTTGTATGAAGAGTGAGCCTGGATACAGATATCCAGGAAGCACCTACTGAAATGAAGTGAGTTAGGATCTTCAACTAAAGACGACTTAGATCTCTTTGTGTCAATCACTTATAGTTACCTGAATCAATTAGGCAATTTTGTTTCTTAGTTTAATAAAATCACATTAGTTTGATTTTAACACTGGGATATCTCAATAATGCATTTTCTGGAGGAAAGATGCTTGAATCTAGTACAAAAAGATAAGGAGGGTAAGGAAGTAGCAATCTTTCCCCCACACAGCCCCTCTCACAAGCTTAGAGACTTCAGTTCAAGCCAACCCTACTTTTCTTTTTCTTTTCTTCAGAGCTGAGGACTGAACCCAGGGCCTTGTGCTTGCTAGGCAAGTGCTCTACCATTGAGCAAAATCCCCAACCCCCAACCCCACTTTTCATTGACTAAATATTTATCATCAGAAGGCAATGCAGCTTGCAGCGGATGTCCATCCACTTTGTTAATAAATGTGTTTTCTAAGCTCTGATATGCTTAGTTACTGAGCTCCATTGTGTGGTGCAGTGCCTGATACCTGGGTGACTCTCCATACATGAAATTCATTGCCATTGGCTGTTCTAGTAGGGAACAAGTAGAAATGGGTGTTAGGTGATGGGCTGTATTAATACCTGCAAACAGGTCTGTAGGGTACCACCCTCTCCTTAGAAAGGGCCACCAAGCTAAGACTGCTGACAAGGGAGAAAGATTGGGAAGGAAGAATCATTAAATTCTTAGAGTTAGCAGAGATTTTTAGGCTGGGAAGTGGTATTGAAATTCTTATGTGTAAGCCAAAGGTGTTATAGTCCCCCTGGTGTTCAAGTTCACCATGCTTGTTAGAAGAACAAGAATGAAACTGCAAGCTGTTGACTCCCAGCCTAGGATTCTTTTTCTGCTCACCTTTTCTTGACAGCATAGACTTTGACCTCTCCTATAAGTGGGAAGGTACAATGCAGTTAGAGACTATCAGAGCAGGTATCTAGAGTCTTTATGAGTACTCGTGGAAGAGAATGCTCCCAATTTTGAAGATTTGAAGTCAATTTTAAGGTAATTTCATAGTTGGAAAGAACTGAGGAAGTGACACCTCTGAAACAGCATGAAGCTTTGATGGTATGAAGGACAGCTGATGTTGTGTGGCTGTGAAGTCACAGTCTCGAGAAACTCAATGAGCAATGTGTTTCTAAATGAATCACAGATGTAATAACTGTACATGTATTTTCTTTCAAAATCCCATTCATTTTTTTTTCTGCTCCAAATAATCACTGATGTCATGAATTTGCTCTTACTTTAAAAGTAAGTGGCTTTTGGTTATCTATGCACAAGAATGACAGGAAAAAAGATAGCTTAAGTTTTCTGAGAATTTCATCTTCTGAAAGCTTTTTATTGTGTACCTCTGTGCTAGTCACTCTCCCGAAATGGAGAAAAAAGGGTGTTTCTGAGAATTCAAAATCCCTTTATTCCGCCAGTCTTATGTTCTTATCTGTAAAATTGGAGTTGCCCAATGAAGAGGTTGTAAGTTCATTGATTATATGGCTGTAAGAGTTAAGGAAAGAGAGAAAGGGAAGAGAGTTGGTGGAAAAGACTTGGCAAAGAAAAGCTGCAATTTTAAATAGTCAAGGCAGACTTACTCACTCACTCACTCACTCACTCACTCACTCACTCACTCACTCATTCAACAAAGGATGAAGCAAGGGTTCTAAGTGAAATCTATAAATACATTAAAGAGAAAAGGAAAAATAGATAAAAGGAAGATAGGAAGTAAAGAAGGAAGAAAGAGGAATAAGCAAACAAAAAGAAAAAAAGAAGTATTCCATAAGTAAATTGCATCTATATAATACTTGGAAAATCTTTCTTGACATACTTCCCTTCTCAATAAACAAACTTTACAAGTCATAATGAAAATCAATAAATAAAAATAAATTAAAACCCTTATTTGATAGAAAAATGAAAATCAACATGTCTCCAGAAGTAATTGCATTGGTTGGGTAAAACAGCCTGTGTTTTGAGTATGCTGTGACAGTTGGGCATTGATAAAGTTTCTCATTGGTTCTAGTATATGTGTACATATATATAAACATGTAGGTGTGCACAAGGAGTGTGTGGGGGAGGGGGTTGGGTTAAAGATGCTGAATTACAAGTCTTCTGTGAACTGGTGTTTTTATGAATATATACTTTTATGTATCTGTTTTGTTGTGTTTACTTATCTGAAATCGTCTTTTTAGACTGAACACAGATGGTAGCGCTGATTTTCACCACTTCATCTCACACAGACAACTCCAGACATTACCATGGAATTGAATTTGGAGAACAATACCAATCAAATAATAAATACCAAGTAGGCAATTGGATTTAACTTCCCAGCTTTCTCATTTTTAGAGTTCCACAGCAGATAAATTGCTTAAACTTTCTTTCCTCAAAATCACAGTATTAAAAAGGGAAAATCTAGAGGGCAAAGTAGTAAGAGAATTAAATCTTTTACAGGCGTTTGGGAGTTCTCAGGGAATCCCTTTTTCCTGAAGTGATTTTTCAGCTAAGGAGGAATATTTATCTATAGTCTTTACCCTTGACATTAAAAAAAAGTGTTACAAGAGCTTGGCAACACACAATGCACTCCATGTAGTGTGACATCCCCAAGTATGATTTATGTCTTATTTCTGCAGGGCATCTTTTGGGTAACTTTAAATACACACATCCCATTTTCTACCTGATCTGATAGTTAGGATAGACAATGAGTTGGGAAATCATCCATCTGCTGTCACTGAGGCAGTGACAGACTGACAGCTGTCTGCCAAGGAAGCCTGCTGATGCTACATCGGGATATGGAGGTGCAAGGGACAAGGGCTGATCAGAGGGGAAAATGTTTGCTTTAATTCTCTCTCTCTCTCTCTCTCTCTCTCTCTCTCTCTCTCTCTCTCTCTCTCTCTCTCTCTCATTTGCTCTCTCTGCACTGGAGGTGCTAGTTATCAGATTGAAGAGTGGTGTCCTTGTCCTGTCACTGTTCTGCAGCAGGAAGACAATGTTGTTGCTTGTTCTCTACTACCCACTCCTCCGCAAGATCACAACACCTGTTTCTCTGCCCTATGCTGAGTGAAAGGATAACCAAGCTAGATGTGCACCTCTCACCAGCAAAGTCACTGTGAGAAGGTTCCTTCTAGAATTCATGGCTCCTCCTGGCTCACCTTCTTTGACTTCTCTTCATGTCCAATTCTGTGTATTACTTTTATTGTTTCAGACCCTCTTCCTTCCTCCATGGCCTTTTAATCCAGCCTTTTGCTGAAGTAAAACAGAAGCAGTTGCTGTTGATTGTGCACATGCAAAAACTCTAGCTGATTTGGCGGCTGGGAGGTGTTCCTTACAGTCCTTTTGGGATCAGCTTTCTCTGAGATCAGCCTAGCAAGTGAGGGGCCTGATAATCAGGATAACTCTATTTACTTGTTTTCTTTGAGAAGTTTTTCCAGAAGTGGTGTGTTGGGGGAGTTCATCAGTGGGTAATGGACATCATTTACCATCCACATAGTCTCCTGTGTACCCTTCCCTTGTGTGAGAGGAAAGGTGTCAAAACAGCACACTGGAGCATAATCTCCACCTCCCTGAAAATGCTATGAAGTTTGGAACTTTAGCTGATAGAAAAGATGCATCTTTAAGGTATTTTCTACTCTTGCTGTGGTGACCGGCCTGAGATAAAGCCAGTCAAACTTCCAGCACAATTGAGGGAGGAGCTCCAAAGCTCTGCCTCAGTCGGAGGAGATATTGGCAGTTGATGGCTGTTGAGGAAGAGAGAATCACTCTTGGGTTCAGTCTTTGATTTGTGGCCTTTGAGGAAATGGACTCTAGTAAGGTTCTCATGACCCAGTGGATGGCCACATTCCTATGTACGTATGGATAGTACTAACTGGATTCAGTATTATTAAAAACAACAAAAAATAAAAAAAATGACTATGGGAGGGAGATGATGTTGGGGGGGCACTTGGGGGAGTGGGATGTAGGTAATGGTGGATGAATGTGATTAATATACATTGAATAGACGTAGGGAAATTTCCAAGAACAAAAATATTTAAAAATGTATTTCCACTCTGTATTGAAAATGAATTATTCCCATAACTATATATGCATCTTTAGACCAGAATGACTATATGAATCAAGGCAGGTATGGCTAAATAATTTACATGTACCAATACCACACAGTAAATGCACAGGCTTCAGAGGAGGATTGTGACTTACTTTATGGTTTTACACATCAAAACGCTTAAAGCATATGACCTCTTTATTTACCCTAGATGCCTCACTTTACTTTTCTATCTCCCTTTCCTTCATTTTTTTTCTCTCTTATATTTGACTTGTTTATGTGCTCATTCCTGTCTCACCTGTGGGATATACAAGGATGGACTTTGCTTGCTCATTGTCACTATGTCTATAATACTAGGATACACTTAGTAGATGCCTAAGTATTTTGAATATTTTGCACATACCATGCATACATGAAGAGTGTTCAATGTGTGTGCTTGGATGAACAAACATAAGCACACACATATATGTACACGGTAAGCAAATAGGCATAGGGCTTTCAAGAGTCTTTGGAGGGCTAGGGAAAGAACAGGGATTAAAATCTATGTGGCATGAGTGTGTAAGATTGTCTTCATAGGGGGCTGGAGACACGGCTCAGCAGTTAAGAGCACCGACTGCTCTTCCAGAGGACCTGGGTTCAATTCCTAGCACCCACATGGCAGCTTATAACTGTCTATGACTCCAAAATCTGACACCCTCACACAGATATATATGCAGGCAAAACCACCAATGCACATCAAATAAAAATAAATAAATTGTTTAAAAAAGATTGTCTTAGCTGGGCGGAGGTGGCACACGCCTTTAATCCCAGCACTCGGGAGGCAGAGCCAGGCGGATCTCTGTGAGTTCGAGGCCAGCCTGGTCTACAGAGTAAGTTCCAGGACAGGCTCCAAAGCTACACAGAGAAACACTGTCTCAAAAAACAAAAACAAAACAAAAATTAAACAAACAAACAAACAAAAAAAGATTGTCTTCATAGTTTTCTTGATAGAATGTAGGGTCTCCAATAAATTGATCACGACCTCCAAAAAGCAACGGGAGACGACTATAAAGTATCACCTCTCTTAAGTCAGAATGGCTTATATCAAAAAGGCAAGCTAAGCAAAACAACAAACAAATATTGTTGAGGCTGTAGAGAAAGGACATTCTTACGTGCCATTATTTGGAATGTAAATTAGGATAGCTGTTATAGAAAACAGCATGGAGATTTCTCAAAAACCTAAAGATGGATCTACCACATGATTCAGCTGTCCCATTTTTTGTTTTATACCCAAAGGAAAAGAAACCAGTATATTCCATGCTTATGTTTACTGTGGCACTATTCACTATAGATAAGATATGGAATCAAAGAAGTGCCTATCTGGATGAAGAAATAGAAAGATTGAGCAAAGATAATGTGGTGAATATGCATAATAACATATTATTCAGCCATGAAAAGAATCAAGTCCTGTCATTTGCAGAAAAATGATTGGACCTGGGGGACATTATGTTAAGCAAAACATGTTAATCAAAGCAAAAAGAAGGACTTCATGTTCTTTATATATGAAAGCTAAAATAGTTTATGTCAAAGAAGAAGAGTGTAGAAGAGTGATTACTAGAGTCTGGAAGGATATAAGGAGCAATAACTAAATGAGTCATGTAACATTCTAGTGTTTGAGTCACATAACATCCTAGGACTGATTCTAGTGTTCTGTGGCACAGTAGATTTTTGGGTTACAGTAACATGTTGTATGTGTTACAAAAAACTAGAAGAGAGGAGGTGTCTTAGCTACTATTCTATTGCTATAAAGAAACACCATGACCAAGACAATCCTTTTAAAAAAAACCATTTAATTGGGGGCTTGCTTTCAGTTTCAGAGGGTTAGCCCATGATCAATCATAGCAGGAAGCAGACAGGCATGGTGCTGGGGCAGTAGCTGAGAGCTTTATATCCTGATCCACTGGAGGAGGCAGAGAGAATGACACTGGGCCTAGCATGTGCTTTTAAAACCTTTCAAAGCCCACTCCCAGTGATGCAACTTCTCCAATAAGGTCACACCTCCTAGTCCTTCCTAAACAATTCCACTCCCTGGTGACTAAGTATTCAAATATATGAGCCAATGGGGGCCATCCTCATTCAAACCACCACAGGAGGCCAGAGGCTCCAAACACAAAAACTCGTCAGGAGATGGGAATGCTAATCATCCTGACTTGATCATGACACATTAGTTACATGTATCACATTACCACAATATACCCTATAAGCATGCACAAGTACTGTGTCAAATAAAAACAAAAAGATTAAAAGTTAAAAAAGGGAACCAATAGAGCAAAAGCTTTGTAGGCACCATGCCTCATCTGCTACCACCATTAAGCCAGCTCCACCATCCTAGAGTTTCAGTTGCAGAAAAGGGAACTTGAAGGCATTTTCTCTCACTTTGTCTGTAGCTAGTAATTCCAGTGTAGTTTGCCCCATACTTACTTCATGTACAATTTATCTCTGTCTGAGAAATGGAGTTAACAGATTGGAAAGGGCGACAGAGTATGGTGTATCTTCTGAGTTTGGAGTTGGACACGTCTTTAAATGAAGTTGGCTTTGATATGTTTCTGCCTTTGATCATATTTCTTTTTCATTTTATTATAATTTTTAGGTTTGCTAATTTTATGTGTATGTTTTTTTTTCTACACATATGCATGTGCCCCATGTGCATGCCTGGTACAGAGATCAGCAGAAATGATTGAATCTTTTGGAACCTGAGTTACAGATGGTTGTGAGCAGCCATGTGGATGCTGGGAACTGAACACTGGTCTTTTACAAAAAAAAAAAGATCAAGTGCTCCTATCTACTGAGCAATCTCTTCCACCCCTGACCACATTTCTTAATTATTTTTTTTGTCATTTGTCTTCTCATGTGTGGGACAATATAATAGGACTCAGTTGCAGGTTGAACTGAAGATGAAAGAAAATACTGTTTGAAGCATTAGGCTTGGATCAGGCGGGGGAGATATCAAAGTGGAGATAGCCAGTTTTAAAATCTAGTTTGTGTATTACCAGATTTTGTTATTCATTCGTTTCAGGGCAAATGGGGGTCATTATAAAATATTGACTTAAATGGAAACACTGCACCAGAAAGGCTCAGAACCATTGGCTGTTGCAAGTTTATCTCTAAAATCCCGAGTCCTCACCCAGCTCTAATAATCTCAATCCTAGGCAACAGGATCCAGAGTTCAGGCTTCCCCCCCTCTGTGGACCTTCTGCTCGCCCATGTCCCCTGGTTTCCACTCACGGCTTGAGGATGGACACATCTGGGGGATTCTGAGAGAGGTCTCCAGGGAGAAGGCTTTCTGCAGATTTCTCCAGGCTAGTGCCATCTCTTTCCAGAAAGGAAGCAAACTCCACAATCCCGTGGAAGCAGCAGGTCAGTGGGAGGAAGGGCTGCAAACGCTCACCGACCGGCTGGACTTTGATGTTAGAAGAGGGAGGAGGCTTTAGAAAGGGAGCTGCAGACTGCCGACTCCAAGTGCACTTAGGCAAATGCCCAGAGCCTGACACTGTTAGGATCGGTGCCTTAAATAGTGAGAAAAATGAAGGGGAGAGGCAGAGCAAGGAAGGGTGGCAAAGGAAATTGGGAGTGAAGGGACGGGGAAGGAGGATAAGGGAGAGAGAGGGCGATTGAAAAAGAAGACAAACTAAGTTCTCCTGGGATCATTTTGTAAGCCTGTATTCCACCCCAGGTTCACCAGAGTGAACTGCTCTGTAGAAGGGCACTCACAGGGTTAGTCTGGATATAGAGTGTTTATATCCAAAATTGGATTGAATAGAAAATGATCCTCACGTGTCCATGCGTCTGAACACTTGACCCCAGCCCCTGGTGGCACTGCTATGGGAAGTTATGGGACCTCTGGGACATGCAAGGTAGTCAGCAGACACTGGACCACTGGAGCAGAGCTTGTGAGTATTTGGCAGACTATCCTTCCAGACTAAGCTATGTTCTTCCTGGTCAGTGACATGTAAGAAACAGCTACGCCCCTTGTTTCCACTGCCACGGACCAAGCTGGTCCAGCCTCCATGCCATCCATATCCCCATCGTGATGGACTGTCCTCTCTCACACCATGAGTCCAAGGAAGTCCTTCCTGTCTTAACTTGCTTTTGTCATGTTTTCAGTCAGAGTGACAAGAGAAGCGACTCGTTGAGAAGTGGGGGAGGATGGTCACTGCTGTAATCAGCTTGACCATGTGGTCTGTAGGCCTTTAGAGTTGCATTGTGGGAGGAATGTGGAAGAGTTTGGAGTTGTGAACTAGAGCAGCCTGAGAATGTCAATGAAACCCAATGGGCCGTTATGGCAGGAGTTCAGAATGGGAATAGGAATGTGGGCAGTCAAGACTGTACTCATGACATTTTGGAGGAAAACAAGGATGAAATTGGAAATTGGGACAGAGTTCGTTTATGCTATGCTTTCGCAAATAATCTGGCTTTGTTCTACTCGTGTCTGGAGATCTGAACGATGCTGAATTAAAAGTTACTGGAATGATTTTTTGGGAGAGACAAAAAATTGTGGGAGAGCATAGTACTCAGGCTGTGGTACAGTTATTGCTGACTATGTTAGCCAGATTTGCAGTGATAAATTTGAGAAGAAAGTGGGAACAGAAAGATGTGGAAGATGTGCAGGTTGGAGATGAAAGAACTATAACTATAACTCTATAGTTGTAGAAAAAATGGCTGTGGACAGAGCGATGTTAAAGAGCTTAGTGCAATGAAAGAGAATCTGCCTGAGGTAGCAGAAGTGGTAGCTGTAAGTTAAGACCTCACTCTAGGGCATCCTGCTCTAACATGACTGGGTAGGTAAATGTTGTTACTGATATAGGGAAGCAAGGACCCTGAGACCACAGCAGTCAAGCTCCAGGGGCAAATAGACTGCATCTAAATCTGGCTGCAGAGTGTGCTGCCGTTTATGTGGTGTGCATGTAAAATGAGTGACAGGATCATGGAAGCTTGTGAGACAGTTCCAGAGGAAACGCTAATGAGGTGTGGAAATGTGCGGCCTCTCATCTTCCCTGCCAGGAAGGAGGCCATGTTAGGCCATTGCATGAAGTTGTGAAGGTGAAACACAAGATGCCGTGGAGATGCCAGGATGTTCAAGGTATCAGGAACACATGGACACCAAGGAAACATGCAGGCACTCAAGTGAAGCTAGCACAGAGAGAGCTCACATTTGCCCCAAATGGCATGGGTCTAGCCAAGTCAATTGTAATCCAGATGCTAGACATGGAGCTTTAGGATTTGGTGTTTTCCTTGCTGGATTTCTGGGTTGCTTTGGTCTAGTCTTTTCTTGCTATGTCTCAATATTTCCCCTTTGGAACAGGAATGGGTTACTATATGCCACTGCATATTAGAAGTCTAACTTTTTTTCTTTTGCATCAAAAGTGTGTATTGTTAAGAGATTGCCCCACAGAAGAAATTGGCAGCTTTTGAACAGTGTTAGAAGTGAGGACTTTTGAAGTTTGACTAGTTTGATTTTGCACTATGAAACAGCTATGGCAAAAGGGGACCAAAGGTGGCAGGTTATGATTTCAATGTGAAACACCTCCCTAACAGGCTCAGGACTTTGACTGCTTGGTCCCTAGCTGGTGGCACTGTTTTGGGAGATTGTAGAACCTTTATTGGTGGAGCCTATATTGTAGACTTACGACCAAGATGGTGAAGGTTCATTCTGCTTCCCACCCAAGCTCTCTTGTTTCCTGGTTTGTGGCACTTAATAACCAGTCATCATCCCATACTCTGGTACAGACAAAGCTGGTCCAACCTCCTTGCATGCTTTCCCCACCACGATGGACTGGACTCTCTTAGACCATGAGTCTAAACAAATCTTTTCCATGTTAAGTGACTTTCTGTCAGGTATTCTATCATAATGTTGAGAAAGTAACAAAGTATGGAGGAAGAACCAAGAAGCGGCCAAGGGTTGAGAAACTAGGGGTGTCCATAAGAAAGAAAGGAGGAGGATCAGCATAAAGAAGTGGAGAAATTGTTTTAGCTGGGTGTAATGTTCATACCTGTAATCCTACCAGCCTGGGAGGTTAAATTGGCTGTATAGTGAGTTCAGGGCTAGTTTGGCAACTTGGTGAGGTCTTGTTTCATTAAAAAAAATAATAAAAGAGGGTGGGGATGTAGCTAGGTGGTAGAGTGTTTGTCTGGCATATTCATGGACCTGGATCAATCCCAACATTACAAAAAAATGGAGTGGTAGAGAAAAGATATGAACAGTAGGGAGAGAGACATTCATTGTGAAAAAGTGGGTATTGAATAGCTACATAAAGCCGTGGGTATGCTTAGATCCTTTCAGTTGCTTAAATGGAGCAAAGAGTTGACAGTTGTGGAGTTAGTGTGATTTATTTTATTAAATAAATTAATTATTAAAATTAATATTTTTAATTTCTTCAATTCTTATTCATCAGTTCTACTACCTCTAACTCTAATCCCCACAGACAACTATTTAATATATTTATAGATTTTTTTTGTGGGCATGTACACTATTTGAGATGAATGCATTTTCATGTGATATATATTTTTAATAGTAATAACATTATTGTTGCTATTTGTTGAATGGAGGGTCAAACTCAGGGCCTTGGAGCAGGCTATACAAAAGCCCTACCACTGAGCTATGGCAGTTCAGCCCAAATGCATTTTTGATTTATGTACATGTATGAAATTGCAATATTTGTCTTTATTTTATTCCCATGCAGAACTTTATTTTTATGATGCAACCAGCTGGTTATGAGACTATCTCTTCCAGGTTTATGCCATTTAAAAGTGGGTGTCAATGAGGTTTTTATAGCAGTACCTACAGGAGAGAGAGAGGGTGACAATTAAATTAAATTAGAGAGGGCAAAGAGGTGGGTGGATGGAATTGGTGTTGCAGAAAGTGCTGTGGCAAGTTTCCTCTGTTCGTGTACTCTTGGTGAGCATTCAGGGAGAAATATGTACACAGAGAAAGCACAGCGTGGTCAGCAAGCACATCTTTATTAAAAGAGAAGGTGTCCTCACCAAGGTATGAGAGGACCAGCCTGGAAGAGAGAAGGGACGAGCCCAAGTGCTTTATCTGCCTTAACCTTTCTACTTCATGTCACCTCTCCTCTAATTGGCAGGTTTAGAATGGTTTCTCTTCTCCAGATGTTTTCTCAGAATTGGTTTGAACTAGACATTATTGATTCCACCTTGAGTTTTCTTCAAGTTCTTGTCTGTTATATCACCCTACAAGCCCAAGGTAAAGACATCCTACTATTTTGGAGGGTATGTTCATTTTTCTTTTGAAAATGTTGGATATCTTTATTTTTGATAAAATACATGTTTGAGAGAGTGCCAAGTATGTGCAAGTTCCCGTGGAGGTCAGAAGAGGGTGCTGGATCCCTTGAAGCTGGAATTATGGGCAATTGTAAGTTGTCTTATGTGGGTGCTGAGAACTGAACTCTGGTCCTCTGGAAGAACAGGAAACGTTTTTAATCCCTGAGGGTATCTTATCATGGGAGATTGTGCCAGAGTCTCTTATCAAGATGCAGAGGCAGACCAATTGCCATCTGTGAGAACTGTCTTGTATATCTCTCCTTGACCTCTCCCCTCAGCTTCCACACCTCCCCCTCAGCTCCATTTCTTTTGTCTAACTTGCTCCCAACAAAAAAGGCAGAAAGCAATGGTACAGTAAGAGATCACAATTTATATTGAACTCATAGCAATTCTGTCCTTACCTTGTACCATTGCTTTCTGTAGGCATTTGGGGTAAAAGGTCATTTCTTGGGTGTTATTGAAAGGTATGTCTAAATCAATTGCCTTTTTTGTTGGCATCCAGCCCATGTGTTCTGAGGGCTGTAGGGAGCAGCTGTGTGGTGTGGCTGATGGAGTGCGGCAGGGTAATACATCAGTGAGGGCAGTGGACACACAGCCTTTCCCTTGGGCTCAGACTCTGTCACACTGTTGGACTGTGGGTATTAGGTGTTGATTTCCCCAAAGTCTGCCTTATGCTCTTCAGTTCTTCTGCACTGTCGGTTTTACCTTTGGGAACACTATAAGCTACGGTTTTCATGACTGGAATTTTATTTTTTTTTTGTTGGGGAGGTGTTGTATGATTTGAAGTTTTGGTGAGGCACCCAACATGAGGAGCTTTCAGAGTGGGAAGCAAAATAATACATTTTGAATAACTCTTGGAGAAGTGAGTGATTGACTTTTTTTTTATTTAAAGGAATGATTATTCTGATAATCATAAAATGTGTTTTCTTAAGCAGACAGAGAATCAAAGATACACCCAAGCCCAGAAAATCATGAAGGGAGTGGGAGGGAGATAATCTCCCACTAGTAACCCCCAGTGATTGCTTGCATCTCTGGGGCATAGAGCAGGATGGCTGACAGCAGTTACCAGGTACTCTTTGAGATGGCTGACAGCAGGAAAGCAGTGGTATTTCAGTAGCGACCAAAGAGAAGGTTAAAAGAGAAAATTTCTAGAGCAGAAAAGATGGGGAGAAAGACCACCTCCGTGGGTGGGACACTTTAGCCGCTGCAGAGATGCTCCAGAGAGCTGAGGCTGAGGACAGAGACAGCCGAAGCTTTGGAAAACACAAAGTATAGTTACAGTTGTGAGCAGGCAGAGCCCTATAAATGGAAAATAACCCAGGTGTGTGTGTGTGTGTGTGAGAGAGAGAGAGAGAGAGAGAGAGAGAGAGAGAGAGAGAAAGAGAGAGAGAGAGAGAGAGAGAAGGGAGGGAGGGAGGGAGGGAGGGAGAGGCACACGGAGGGGCAGAGATATCACCATGCAAAACTGGGAGAAGCAGGATGTAGAAGACAGAGACCAAGCTAAAAGAAAGCAAACGAGCTGCTCAGAAAACACAATTAACACTGATTTCATCACTGAGCAAATTTGTAGTCTAGCCAGGCAGGGGTCCTGGAGACCGTACAGATTATCAGCACTGGGAAAATTCTGTCTTGTTCTCAGCATTTAGTCTGGATGGTGGTGGAACCCATTTTGAGAGGCTCCCACTTGAGTCTGCAGCTTCAGGAGTCAAGTGTCCCTGCATTGTCCAGTTTATGGAATCGTCCAGGAAGGGCCAGGCGCTGATCCACCTTGTGTTTGATTGGAGAGCCAGTCTAATTATAGGAGAGAGACCAAGTCAGAACCATAGGGGGCTCCTTTCAGTGGGAAGTCAGTAGGAGTCACAGGGCAGACTGTTTTTCATTGGGTGCCATCAATTGGTGATGTTAACTACCATAGCTCCACAAAGGGGAATGAATGAAAGCAAATGATTATCTATGGGAGCTGAGTTAACCAAAAGTCAGAGACCCAAAGATGGAATATGGTCATGTTCTGTTGGCATTGGTTACTGTATCTGTACATGGTTTCCCTGCCCCAAGAGCAGATAGATGTGATGGAAACTAGGAATAATTGGCTGGAAGCTTGTAGTTCACTCCATCTTGTTCTGTGAAACTGAATATCAGAGTAACTGTAGCTGCTTCTGCCTCCACAAACCACACCTAGATATACAAATTCCAATGCAGAAATACAAGAAATATGAAAAACAAGGCAACATGACTCCTTGAAAGAGTGAAAAATTCATTCCACAATAATTGATTTTAATGATAGCAAAGTGGGCAAAATTAGAGCCCAAATGGAAAAGAATGATGATAAGAACCATCAACAAATCCAAAGAAGATACAAATTAACCCCCAAATGAATTAAGAGAATATGAGTAAATTGCTGAGTAAAATAAGGACAATCATGCACATGAAATAATTCAGTGAAGAGCTAGAAAGTAAAAACAGACAAATGTACATTTCAAAAGTGAAAAAAAAAAAAAACTCAGTTGAATCTTCACCAGTGGAAGGTGAAGTGGATCAATGAGAAGGTAGAATGTCAGAGCTTGAAGACAGACAAATATAAATATTCAGATGATAATAAAGAAAATTAAGAAAGTAAAAACAGATACTGCAAGACTTCTGAGCCACCATTAAAAGGCCAAATTAAGAGAAAGAGAAGAAGGAGAAGAGGAGAGTAGGTACAAACTAAAGAAACAGAAAACATTTTAAGTAAAATAATAGAAAAGAGTTCCCCAAATCTTGGGAAAAAAGCTGCACATCTAGATACAAGAAGATACAAGAACCTTAGACACATGGATTTATGCGTAACAGGGTGCTTTCCTGAAGCTTTCCATAGTCTTTCCTCTTCCTGTGTGTTGAGTGTTTCAACAACAATACAACATGGCTCTTCTCCCTTTCCCGCCCATCTTACTTGTGCTTCTCAATGTCTTTTACAACCATGAGAATATGGGAAAGACCGAATCTCATTAGAAGAGTAGATAAGCCAAGCAAGATAGGAAAGAGTCAAATATCACAAAAAAAACCAGCAAATGGAAAGTATTAGTACATATCTTCCAGTTATAACTCTGGTGTTAATGCTACCAAATATCCAATAAAAGACCCAGACTAAGCTGGGCAGTGGTGGCACACGCCTTTAATCCCAGCACGTGGGAGGCAGAGGCAGGCAGAGCTTTGTGAGCTCAAGGCCATCCTGGGCTACAGAGTGACCTTTGGGAAAGGTGCCAAAGCTACACAGAGAAACTCTGTCTTGAAAAAACAAAAAAACAACAAACGAACAAACAAAAAGACTCAGTGTATCTAAGACCCACCCCCAAACACAACCAACAAAAGAACTTGATTGTTGCTTTCTAGATGTGTACCTAATTGGTCAAGAAAATACAGCCTAAAAGTAAAAAAATAGAAAAGATATCCCAGTCAATAGAATCCAAAAGAAAGCAGGAGAATCTATACTCACTCATATCTAACAATATAGACTTTAAAATAGTATTAGTGAGAAGTGATAAGGAAGGTCACATAATTTATGTGGATAATGGAACAAATTTATCAAGGGCATATAATGATTATAAACATGTACACACCAATATTCAACACACCTAGTTTTGTGAAACAATGCTATTAGTTTATAAAAGTACTATCAGACAATTTAAAATAAGCATAGTTGACACATTAGTAATTGTGTGATTTAACACCTTATTCTCATCAGCAGATCTGTCATCCAGAGAAAAAAATGAATAGAGAAACATCAGAGTAAATGAAATTGTAGATCATGTAGACTTAACAGCTAGCTGGAGAATATGACACCCAAAGATTCAGAATATAGATTCTTTTTCTGCATCCTACAGAAATTTATCCAAAATCGATATTTTAGGGCATAGAAGGAATTTTCTTAAACACAGGATTACATATTTGTGTTCACACTCATGCAATTTAGTAAACTACCCACAACACAGCTTTTCACACAAAAGGAAGATCTGAGCCATTTTTTCAGACTCTTTAATAATAATCCATTATGTGTTTTATTTGATTCTGGAAAGTTCTTTGCACTGCCTTAGCCCATGTAGGCTGAGGTGAAAGAGACTAAGTAATTTATGGAATAGAAATATATTTCTCACTGTTCTGGAGACTATGGAGTCCAAGAGGCGATGTTGGCAAGCTTTTGTACACATTAAGGTCATGGTTCACATGTGGTTGTTTTCCTGTATCCTTACACAGAAGCAGGGCAAACAGGCTCCTTAGGATGTCTCTCTTAAAGGCACTAATCTCAGGAGAATGCCATTCTCATAATGTAATCACCTTGCCAGTCATCCACAGACTATCACTTAGGGAATGAAGATTTCAATATACAAATTTCAAGGGAGACAAGAAAACTCAGACCATGGCAGCCTCCATTATTTCAGATACTCTTCTCTGTTCCGTCCTCACCTACTGATATTTTAATCACAGTGTGTTACACCTTTTAAAATAGTTCCATGGTTCTTTGAAGATTTTATGTTCTTCCCCTCTTTTTTTCTACTTGCATTTTTAGTTTGGGGAATTTCTATGTGCTTGCATGCACTAATTCCTTCCTCAGTTGAATGCCGTCTTCCAGAGACTGTTAAAGGTACTGCTCATTTCTATCATGGTATTTTTGACTTTTAGCACTTCTTTCATTCTCTTTTAGAGTTTCTTTCTCTCATTACAGTACTCTTATAACATTATATGTATCTTTTCTTTATTAGAGTCTTTAACATATTAGGCGTCATTATTGAAAATTGTCTGATAATGATAATAGTTAAATAGCTGAGTCTGGTTCTTATGTTTGCTTTGTCTCCTCAGATATTACTTTTCATCTTAACACTTAAGCATCTTTTGTGATTTTTTTAAAAAATGAAACATGCTGTGCGACGTAGAATAAGATGATGTATGGTAAGATCTGAGGTAAAGAGACTTTTAGTATGAGATTTCATGTTAGCCTAGTTAGATGTGGGCTCTATTTAATGTTTTCCATAGCATAAGAGCTGGAGAATTAAAGTTTCTTAGGTATGTTTTGATTTGATTTGTCTCTGACAGTGTCACTACTAAGTAAGCTGACCTTAAATTTAGGATCCTTTTTCCTCAGCCTTTCATGGTGGACAATATATTTTCCTTTGTGTTCCCTGATGTCAGTGACTTACTTTCAGAACCTTTTTTAAAAAAACTAGAATTGGGGGTAGTAGGTATTTTTTTTT